GGAGCCGATGCCAGGGGCAGGAGCCAGGGGCCAGCAAAGCCGGAGGGGAACGTTCATCAAATGGGCTGCCAGGTCTTGTCAATGGTCTGAATGTGCTCCTTGGCTTTCATGCGGAGCGAGGCAATGCTGGAGCTCCTCTGGTCCACCTCCTCCAGCGGGTACTTGTCCACCAAGGAGGGTGCGGAGGCCATGGGCTGCATGCCCTGTGCCATGGGCGGGGGGGTGTTGAGGAAGGAGTGCCCGCCGTAGGGGGGCTGCAGGGCCTGGGGGGCTCCCATGAAGCCGGGGATGCTGTGGACCGTGGTGGCGCTGGAGATGGGGGACGTCAGCCATGGGTCGAGCGGGAGGGAGTTGCTCATGGGCCCCACGTTGGGTGTCATGGGGGGCCGGTTGAAGGAGAGCACAGGGGTGTCATGGAGCTTCATGGAGCTGGCCTCCATCTTCTCCTGCCGCCTCCACTTGGCTCGTCGGTTCTGGAACCAGACCTGCGAGGTGAGAGCCAGGGTGAGCTCCACTGTGCCCAGCCGGTCCCTCGCAGTGTGCCCCACGTGCTGTGCCCCATGCATGGGTGAGAAGCCCAGGTGGGGTGTCCCATACAGGGTATCCCATCCCGTGTGGGGTGCCCTGTGTGTTGGGTCCCATGTGAGGTGCCCCACAGAGCTCCAGCAGCCCCCCCACACCGCACACCGCTGCCAAACCTCCCCCCACTCAAATCCCAGAGACTGAGGGTGTCTCTGAGGTGTGGAAAGTGAGAAGCGTCACCGCACAGCCCCTGCCCTCGCTGCTCCACGACAACGTGCACCCCAGCCCCCCAAACACCGTACGGTCCTCGGTGTAACGTTATCCGGCATTCAAAAGCCCCTCATAAAAGCTCTCAGAAGCCAAACTGCCAAGGTTGCACCAAAACCCAGCACGAACGAGCTGGACTGGTGAGCCAAGGCCAGCGGTGATGTCTCGGCCCGTGGGAGCTGGTCCCCGTGTCCCCAGAGCCCCCAGCAGCACGAGGCGCGGGCCGTCGGCTGCACGATGCGAAGCAGGGGGTGAGGATGGACGGCTAGGCTGAGGGCATCTCCCATGGGCTGGTCACAGCTGTTGGTGGACACTGGGCTATACTGGTGCAAACTTTGTCTCCAAAGAGCAACGAAGCTGGTGAAGGGTCCAGAGCACAAGTCCTACGAGGAGCAGCTGAGGGAGCTGGGGTTGTTCAGCCTGGAGAAAAGGGGGCTCAGGGGAGACCTTCTTGCTCCCTACAACTACCTGAAAGGAGGTTCTACTGAGGTGGGGGTCGGTCTCTTTTCCCAGGTAACAAGTGACAGGATGAGAGGAAACAGCCTCAAGTTGTGCCAGGGGAGGTTTAGCTTGGATATTAGGAATAATTTCTTCACCAAAAGGGTTGTCAAGCACTGGAACAGGCTGCCTGGGGAAGGGGTTGAGTCACCATCTCTGGAGGTATTTAAAAGACATGAAGGTGTCCCTGCCCATGGCAGGGGAGCTGGAACTAGACGATCTTGAAGGTCCCTTCCAACCCAAACCATTCTGTGATTCTACGTGGTGCTGAGGGACATGGTTTAGAGGTGGTCTTGGCAGTGGTGGGTTCATGGTTGGACTTGATCTTAAAGGTCTTTTCCAACCTAAACAATTCCATGATTCTGTGATTCTATGAAACCAGCTCAGGGAGCTCGGCAGAGATGTCGCTACGGCCTGGACCCCCCCAGAGAAAGGCTTGGACTGGGACTGAGGCCTGGGAAACTCAGTTCATTTGTAGGGTTTGCCACTTCTTCAACTCTCCAACCCTTTCCCTCAGCCGAGTCTCGCCCTGTCGATCCCAGGAGTGGGGGGAGCGGACTCTTCCCCAGGCTGAGCGTCCCCCATGGAGCCTTCTCCTGCAGCCCAGGGAGCGAGACCTCCCCAGCCCTGCCACCCCCGCAGAACTGCCCCACTCCAACAAGCCTAAAAACCCCCAATCCGTGAGGCTCTTGTGCTTTCCCAGCCTTAAAGACCTGGAAGTGGTCACGAGTGGCTGAAGTTTGGCTGATTTCCCGTGGGATCAGCTGGAGGGATGGCAGCAGGGGAAAAATAAAATCCTTAAAAACCATCTCCCTGCCCAAACGGAGCCTCTGGCACGCGGGCTGAGCTGGGACCTCGTGGGGGAACGAGGCACAGCTATTAAATCCCTTCCCTGGATTCGGCCGGAGCAGCTGGCTCTGCAGAGGTACTGCTCCTGCCTCAAGCAATGGGGAAACTGAGGCACGGTGCGAGGCAGCGGAGGTGGACCTCGGAGCAGAGCGAAGCTCTCCAGCGTGGGGGTGGTCCCTCTGCTGCCACCCAGGGGACAGGTCCGGGGATGCTGAGGCCACCGGGAGCCTTCCCTACCTGCACGCGGACCTCCGGCAGGTTGACCTTCATGGCCAGCTCCTCGCGGCTGTAGACGTCGGGGTAGTGGGACTTCTCGAAGGCGCGTTCCAGCTCGTGCAGCTGGTAGGTGGTGAAGGTGGTGCGGTTCCTCCGGTGCTTCTTCTTGGGCTGCTCCTCCTCGGTGGTGGCCGGTGGGCTTCCCTCGCCGTCCCCCGGCTTCCGCAGCTCGCCCAGGTCCCCCTCGCACTTATTCAGGAACATGGTGGCACCTGCGAGGGGACCACGGGGGGTTAGTGGGGACGCAGGGACGTCGGTCCCCCCCTGTGCAACCCCAGGGCAGGGGCGGACAGACAGGTGGCCGGTGGGACGGGAGGACGGGGCGGCCCCAGAAACAGGTTACACAAAGGCGTAATCCTCTCTTCCGCCCCAGCGTTATCCCGGGGACCGACCCAGGGTCCCAGGGACGGTGCCCTGGGCACCCCGCGCTGGGCTCCACCGCGAGACGCGGCCAGGCTGATGTGCCCACCCCAACCTCAAAGTCAAA